ACTGCGACCGGCAAGGTTCCTCATCCGGGCGACAAACACACACATACATGCACACGCACACACACACACTCACACTCACACACATGCACGTGCACGCAGCAGGCACACGTATGCCTTGGTTGCATTTCATCTCGCACTTTACTGCGCTTGTCGCGTCATAAACCGTGTACCGGCCGGCCCGGCCCGGCTTGCCACATGTTATCACGTCAACCCTTGTGACCCGGCTCGGCTGCTCGGACGTCACTGCGCATGCCGCCGCCGGTGCGCGAGCGACACGCTGCGCTGGACCGCCCCGCCCTGCCCCACCGCACCCTCGCCGTTGCTGGTGATGCAAGTCTGCTGCTGCTGGTGATGCTGGTCGCGATCCTGGTGACGCCCGAGCAGTGAAAGTGCCATCTTGGCGGGCTGCCCGGTGTCGGCGTGTCCGTCCGCGCCAGGGGGATAAGCGAGCGCACCCGCGCAACTCGACTGCAGGGTCTGTCCAGTTACGTGGAGCGCGGGAGGGGGACGAGGCTGCTTGGGCCCGCCCGTCGCCATTAGCGTGGAAGTGTCGCGCCACCGATCAGAGCCGGAGCAGCAGGAGGGGTGATCCAGTGAGGAGGGCTGCCGGCCAGACCGATGGACATTGAACAACGCGGAAAAGCACAGCGGCAAGCAAGGGTTCGCCCCTAACTAGACACGGCCTGGCCGGTGTTGTAGTCGAGCAGCGCCGGCGAGCCGGGCTCTTTATTCAGCTATGCTAGCTTACATGCCCACGGCCCCGGGTCCACGGGACCGATATGTAAAGAGGGCCGAGGGTCGTGCAAGCGATTTGAGGGCCCACCAGCGATTTGTAACCCCCTTCCCCTTCCCCTACTACTGCCGCCCTCTACTGCTTGCTATACCTACCTGGTTCGACCTGGCCCCCTTCCATGCTTACTCTCCTCATTTCAATAAGTATTACCGAGCAGGTAGTTGTGTGCGCCGGGTGCTACAAGTTCGAGCGGAGTGTATGGAAATCCACGACTAAAGCCATGAAACAAGAAGTGGTACTTGTCAGCGTCGTGCCATATCACGATGAAAGAAAAATGGTCTTATGGACTTGCAAGATGTACGTACGAAAAGTCGCGCCCTTTAATCATTCTTTACCGTATGCGCGAGTTGCTCAGGTCACAAACCCTACTTTTTCTACTACTTTTTAAAAAAAGCATTCCCACTTATGAATTTTGCCAGTCACACTTTGCACACCCTTGGCACTGTTCCGTTTGATTTTTGTCCTCTCTCATAAATCAAATGTCATATAACACAGACCCATCTGACTTTAAGTAGCGTTCCGAATTGCACCATGCTCCACGCCAACACTGCCGTGCTGCCTGGCGGCGGGGGATACACTTACCGGACACGAGAGGGGGAGGGTCGCTTCGGGGCGGAACCTAATTAATGTTCCCCTTTAATGAGATGTCCCCCCGCTCCGCCCGCCGGTGGCCCAGGCCCGGCCCGGCCCGCCGGACTGCGCCATGGAGTGCAATGCCGAGGTGAACGGGACCGTGCGGGCGGCCTGTGTCGGACTGCGCTGCGGTGCCCTCCTTACACCGGGGCCATTAATATCGAGATTATGTTCGATAGTGGGTGGCGGCCACGCGCGGAGCCGCGCAGCAGAGAGAGAGAGAGAGAGAGAGAGAGAGAGAGACAGACAGACAGACAGATATGTGTGTGAGGGTGAGAGGGGGTTCAGCTCCTGTCTCGCTCCCCACAAGGCATACGCCCTGGTCTGCGCCGCGGTTAAACTGCGTTTTCGCACGCAGCCCATTTACGCCCTTTCGGCCTCCGCCCGCCCGCTGTTGCAAAACATATCGTCCAGTCCAGGTTTACGGGCGTTGGAAGCAAACACGACGACACACCTCAAAACGAAATTCCTGCAATTTTTTATTTCTTTTTTAAGTTCGGCAGGCCTGCCATTTATTTTGTTTTTTATCCTCCATACCCAATCAAAATTAACTGTCTTCCCCGCGGCCGTATAGTGCAATGTTGCACGCTTGGACTTTCAGCAGCGAAGGGGGTCTCGTGCTCGAGCGGTGGGCGATCGCTCGCGGCTCGGCTTCATTAGCGGGGGGAGACCAGCATCGCGAACAAAGCAGTTTAGTGGAGTTAGTGTAATGGGAGCCCACGGTGACCTGGCCACAAACACGCTAATCTGTATTCCTACTTGACACTTAAAGAAAAACACCTTTAAGTACATTTTCCTTGAAAAGCGTGTATGGATTTTGGGGTCGCCTGCCAATTTAAATGCCTACTTAAGATCCTACTGAACACTTCATTCAAAAAAAAATAAAAAAAAATTGAAGTTTAATATGGCTTTGTGGTTTGGGGAGTAGAATAAAGTATCAACCGTTATCATCCGTGGCCTCTCCAGTGTGACAACGGCGCGTTACCGTATAATAAAAGAAAATGGGACGTCACGTTTTTCTTTTGCGAGCCGTTCGAATGTGAAAATGGGAGCGCGGGGGGTTTGACATCGTCGTGACCCGTTGCCCGGCGAGCCGGACCCGCCCCCGGCCAGGCTCCACCGGTCCGCGACCGCCATTTTTCTTCTCTCTGCGGATTGACGCGCTGCGAAATTGCTACGATGGAGGCGCGGGGGGAATAACGAGTGCAAGTGGTGGTGGCGGCGGCCCCCGGTGGGCCTCCCGTTAGGCGCGGGGGGCTGTGGCCCGTGGCTGGTGGCCCATGCGGGAGTGCGGGGGCGTGTCCCGCGGCGGCGCTTTTGCCTGCGCGGTGGTGACCTCCTGGCCCCGGAGGACGCCGAGCTGGTCGCCGAGCTGGTGGCCGGGCGGGCGCGGCAACGCCCCTGTGGCGGCGAGCAGGTAGCAGGTGGGTTGGTGGTGTGGGT